GAATTACCTGCCTCTCATCGCCACCATCTTCGATAGACTTTACAATTCTAACTTTGAGTATGACTTTGAACTTTGGACTGAATTACAAACCTGGGAAGAACGAGAACTCAGATCAACCTGACATCAACGATATAACTAGAGGTATTTATTCCACTCACGAGGATATGTAAGCTCTCTCTTGAATATTTCCAATGCGCGGTTAGGGTTGCGACTTATTTATATTTTGTCCACTATCAACCCTGAAACCTATGAATTATACGGATTGAAAATTCCAAGAGGGAGCTGTAACCTCGATTCCCTAATTAATTATTTATGTAAAAATGCTCAACAATAAACGGGTATAATGTTAATTAACTTGGATTGGTGTGTGTTTCTTCCGACATTATCACCTCCATACTGAACCTGAAGTCCTCCACGAGATTGCTCGTGATAATTTTGTCCTCAATCTAACGCGTATCTATCTGCTAAGAAATTGATAGATTGGTGTCAGATCCTGATGGGAGAAAAGATTTAACGATCCTTAACTCCATAACCCTTTTGCTCAACAGAACCCATCCTTTGGACAAGAGAGACCGGACCTCAAGGTTTTGAGTCGAGTAAGAAGTAGGAGAGTCAAGAACTCGTAAACATCCTACCCCCGATTAGTCTCACAGTCACTATATGCAGTATAAAACTGTCTATTATTATATTACATTTGGCATAGAGTTTAACATACTATTTATCAATTCTAATGGAAATTTTTTATTTAATTATCTATAGCAGTTGTGCCCAAACTTTCTGATTGGAATACCAAATTGGTAGGTAGGTAGGTAACAAATATTTTGTATATTTCAGTAAAACTTTGTTATTTCATAATAGGAATATTAAAAGTATTGTGTAATTCAAAGTTGAGTCTAGTCCCCAGCCAAGAGAATAAGGTTTTGAATATATTTTAGTTTGAATTTCATTGTATTTATATTTTGAATTATCCAAAGTCAATATCTGGTCCAGTGTCCTGCAAAAATATCATTTATTTCAAAATCTTCCATCATATTACATGTTTATAAGAAAGTTTCCATGCATACATGGCAGTTTCAGTTTCATCAATTATATGATAATTCATTGGATATCCAATCATTTGGACATTGTATGCATTGCCAACAAAGAGGGAATTTTTTTGTATTTTCTTAGCACAATGTTGCTGTTGATAACATATCACTCAGGAACACTTTCACAGGAAAAAGGTTGTTTTATTGGTGTGGACGGATATGCATTTCGGGCTTAAGAGGGGCATTAAGCCCAAAATGCATATCCGTCCACACCAATAAAACAACCTTTTTCCTCTGAAAGTGTTCCTGTGTGATATGTTCTCAACAGTAACATTGTGCTAAGAAAATACATATAATAGAGAACAACAAGCAACCAAGATTTAAGAATTTTTTTTATTTTTATGAAATAAATCTGTTTGGCATTTAATTATTTTGGAAGGTTTTTGCAAAAAATCTATTGTTTCAATAATTCCAAAGTCTATTATATACATGTGTGTATTCATGACAGAATGTGTACTTATAGTTTTAGCCGTTAATAAGGCTTATTTTCATCAGATCACATGATTTTTGTAATCTCAAACTCAAGATGATGAATTCTTTATAGAATTAGCCATTAATCCTCTAGATAAAATTCACGGTAATTCTTATTGAAGCACTTAAGCTTCGTTTCATACATTATTTTCATGTCTTAATTTGAATGTAATTTGGTTACATTAAGTTCATCAACACACCAACTGATAGTTTTTTGTAATAGTTTAAATTACTAAGTAATAACTTGTAATATTAACACATTTGTAAATGAATGGATGAAATTATGTAAGATAATGTCATAATTTTATTCAAGAATTACAAAAACTTTGATTTGAAAAAGTTTGGATAATTCAAAGTCCTTTTTTTTTNAGATTCTATATCCATACAGTAGTAGTCCACATCAAGAAAGAAAGAAAATAGATTCAGTTCTCTCCTTGTATTCCCTTTTTATTTCCCTCCTACATGTGACTTGACCAGTTCTCTCCTTGTATTCCCTTTTTATTTCCCTCCTACATGTGACTTGACCAATCCTCATTTTGCCATTGTTATGACAACCAATTACATACAAGAGAACTACTATAGAGTGGTATGGGAAGAAGGATGTGAGTATATAACTAATAAAATGAAAAAACCCACATAATGTAATAACACCATAACAGATTCTCAAGTGGATATAAAGTGAAAAATTTATCTGATAGTGACATTAAAATTTTAGTCATATGCAATTTTTCAGAATTTCTCTCTCCAGTTTGGTCTAGTTCACTAACTCACTTGTGTATCAAGAAATATGATTTACTACATCATCATTTTCATAAATAAAAGAAAAGAATATTTGTTGAAGGAAATGTAAACTAATCTCAGATTTTTGCTCATAAACTGAATTTAGCTTTTTCCACATTTTACAAGCCATGTTGCGAATTGAAATATGATCTATTGGCCCTTCTTCCATTCTATACACTAGCAGTTCTTTAGCATTATCATCTTTAGTTTTCCATTCACTTAATTCTTTATCAAAAATTAATTTACCCTTACCATTATACTCCAGCATTTCACTTCTATCTTTTATTGTATCCAGGAAACCCTTCAAAGCTGTAAAAATTTTCACAATTTCCCAATTTAGCAAATCCTTCAATTTTGTAACAACAGTGAATTGCTACATTTTATTTATGTACATCTTTGAAATGTTAAACTTTAAGTACAAACTTCTGACTTGACCAATCTGCTTTAATGCCTAACTATGAACTCAATCTGATCTCTGTAACATACATTGCCTGTTGCAGAAAACAAACATCAATCTATTTATAAATAATAACCTACATAGCATACATACTTGTATGCATATGAAAAAGATACAAAAACTAGTTACAGGTACAGTACAGTACATTGGCCATAAATGATGTTTGTATAGTGTTACATTAAGAATGAAAATTACATTTTATTGATTTTGAATAGTCTGTGATAACTGTCAGATGTCAAAAATATGAAAATCTTCCCACATGAAATTTAATGAATCTTTGATTGTTTCAGAAAAATAATATTTGAAAAATGACTTTTCTTCAATTAATTCTCAAAACATAAAATAAAAAACAGCACAAAAACTTGTTTAAATAATTAATTAGATCTTAATATAAAAGTAATATGATAATCTTCAATATACTTGATCAAAACTTAATGCATAAATCTATATATATATATATATATATATAAAAGTGGATGTGTGTGTCCCTATATTTCACTTTTCAGCCAAAACTACACATCGCACATGAATGGTGTTTGTATGTGGTAGTAGCCCCAAGTCTCCATTCGTGCACTATGGTGGTTNAATTGGGCTACTTTACCACTCCTATTAATAATTAAATTATCTTATTAAATTTAATAAGAGATGGTGCCTAACACCTACCTCTAGTACCAAATTACTCAGTATTTAATTATTAACAGCGGCAGAGGTGTGTTTCAACCACTGAGGCTGCTGGCACTTTTCTTTCTGAACTCCAACAACATAAAGGAAGTTTGTGAATTTGTGTTTACTAATTGATTTGAATTGTGAAAAAGTTAATACAAATTGATTTAATTAAATTTATTGTCTTTTGGAGTAAAATCAATCCTGACTTAAATGCAACATTCTCCAGTAGAGTATAGAAGACTTCTGCTAAATCACACTAAACCAGGTAGTAGAAAAGATCAATCAACTATGACTAATACCAAACTTAAAACAGATTTTAATTTATATGTGGACAAAGACACACAGGAAAACTAAAAAATTATAAAGAATTCATAAAAAATTGATGTATCGTATAATCTATTAAATTTCCTATTAAAGTTATTAATTTAACAAGATAGTAACTTATTCCAAAGTTACATTTCAATTTACTTATTAAAATTATAATATAAAAATAACACTCCTTTATAGTTAAATATGTTATTTATGTAAATTTTCAAAATATAATGCATTTTAGAATCATTTGAAGTCTGAATCAATTTTTCCCATTAGAAATAATGAAAAGTGAATTACAGTGGGTGATCGGTTAACAAACAAATCGGATAACAAACTCTTTTGTGAAAGATTTTTATGTTTGGACAACGAACACCTCACAGAACAAACACAAGAAGCGACATAAAATAATGAATATCAATTGGTCTTCTCTTGTCTTCAGACAACAATTCGAAACTTTTCGGAATGTAGGAGATGTCAACATCGATGCTCAACCCAGTATATACTGATCGTATAGTATTCCTCCAAACTTCGAAACTCTCCCTTGTAATTCCAGCCTTTTATTTTTTCTGACAGAAACAATTCTTTTATAGTATTTGCGAGACTGTCAGGTGGACACTTGTTAAGTTTTGCATCTGTTTTTATTTTTGAAAGGTGAGAGTACAATATCACAGGTAGAGAGTGGGCATATGTCTGATGTCTGTTGTTGCTGGGCAGTATGGCTTGAACAAATCTACAGAAGGACTTCAATCTTATCTAAGAAAGTTACTGTATTATCAAGAAGACTCAAGCAGCTTAAAAAGTAACAAAAATCACATCTGAGAAATAAAGAATATTGAAGAGCTCATAATGAAACCTGAAATTGATCTGACGACAGAAGAACGCCAAGGACTGTTGAATGAAGAACACCAAGAAACTCGGCGATATATGTTTTCTTCTGAAAGAGAGAATTAATGTCGATATCTGCTATTAAACATTTTTTTGAAGAAGTGGAATGATATCAGAACGACAGTCTTAGAATGGCATCAAAACCAGGTTGAGGTTAATAGGCTTAGGGATCTCTACAATTACAATGNTCCTTACAAAAATAGAATAATAAAAATATTTAAAATCAAAATCTTTATCCTTTTTTCTATTTTTAGAATAAAATGCTATCATTAATTTTACCTTAGTTTTTATACAAAAATTTAATACTATTTTAATTTATTAACAAATTTCATACACATTACCTATTTATGATTCTTCCAATTGGTGTAATGTCAAAAAATGAAAGAGGAGCTTTCAAAATTCTATTTAATAAATCATGATGAACTTTCACAGCAGCATTAGTTGTTCCCATAAACATGAAAACATTAGTTACTATAAGAAATATACCTGTAAAATTATAACAAATATTTAAGTTTAACTAGAAAATTAAATTCATAATATCAATGTTTTGATTAAACAGTTATATCTCAAATAATGCAGATTAACATGGTATTTCACTATAGTGCAGTTAATAACTTGTGCACTTAATAAATGTGTATACAAATTTAGCACAGTTTTAAACTTTTTATTCAGAATCAACACTTTTTAGTTTATTGGACTTTAAAATAATAGCACTTTTGCCTCCAGATATCTAACACCTATATCAGTAGTAAGTAGAGTTAGACAGTACTGCTATAGTTGTATTGAAAAAATTTTTTGCCTTTGGTGCTTTATAAATATATACAAAGTAAAAACTTAATTATAACTCCCTTATATGAAACTATGAGTGAAAAAAGAAAGTATGGAGATGTTAAAAACCAATAAAAAATAAATGGTTAGCATTAAATAAGAAACTCAGAGACTATTTCAGACATTATTATGGATGGAGATTCTGACACTGATCATAGTATTAAAGTGCAGAGAGCTTTAGAAGACACAATTTAAATACAGGCAATCTACCAAGTAAGTGAATGAACAAATGGCTTAATGAAGCAACCTTACTATATTGGAACAGGAACACTGTCTACATTCACATCTTATTAAAAAACTAATATCTTCTATATTAATTACTGGTACCAATGAACACCATTACTAAACCTTTAATTCCAGTAACATAGTAAAATTTACATTATATTAAATTTTATAATATAATATTCGATAATGAATATTATAAAATGACAATGATTAAAATAATACTCTGTGTGAGTAGCAACAATAAGATAATTATTAATTATACACTATTTATATTTAAGTTATCATGTAAGTAAACTGTTATACTGTATTCCAGAGGAAAAGCTGGAGGTATATGAACTCAAAGTGATTAATAGCCACTTCAGTTTTTTTTCTTATGAGTGATCAACAATCATTTCTGAAGGAGTTTGCCAAATATGAAAATTATCAAAATATGAAAATATTGATGACAAGTGAGTAGGTCTGCCCCATGCCCATCCCAGACAACAATTTCTCTTTGAATCTACGGATGCAACTCACAAGAAACATATTTCTGCTGCTTATGAGAGCACTGTTAGGATAGATGATTCCTAGCACTCCACCATATCTACCATATGGTGGAATGGTGGGGAAAGCAATTTGACTATCTTTCTCTTTTGGTCAGTCTGACTATAGCTGAAGATTAGGCAGATTATGGACAGCCTACTGCAGATACCATACATTCCCATGTCTATGGTATTTTCTCACTGTCATGCACAGTCTCCACAGTGCAACAGCTTTGCAATCATAGATTTGGCTAGTTCCAATAGACCTATAGTTCAAGTTGTTACAGAAGGCTGTTGTGGCTAATGATCATCACTGCTGCTATCTTCATTTGCTTTCTTCAACAATTGTGAGGACAATTTAAGTTTTTTTTTTCTAATTGTGATTTGTGAAATGCAAGTGGTTTGTGGAGTAATTTCATGTGCATACAACACAGGAATTTTGGTGTCTCTAATATGGATAGATGGCTGAAAACTGGATCCTTAACGTTAAATGAAAACAGCAGTATCATGGTCATATTCCATTGTGAATTCTGTTGATGTTCATTTCTTTCTTGTTGATATTCAGATGTAGGCTTAACTCAACATCCATGCTTGTATCATCTATGGATATACCTAAGAATTCTGATGAATTTTCTAGCACTCAAGCACAGTCAAATCACTGCAAGCAACAGAGAGAAGTGAAAATCGGTAACACAATATAAAAATGACATAAATATGATGTTCAAACTTGCAAGTTGGATTTAAGTGGACCAGACAATAAACACCCTCTTCCACAATGTGTTATCTACTTTGAGATTTTGTCAATCATTCCACGAAATTGTCAAATCTATCACTATATCTCTACCAAACACTCAGATCTTATGAATAAACTGACAGAATATTTTGAAAGGAAGTGCAAAGAAATGAAAATGAGAAAAAGTTTGCACCAATCAACATTACCAGAGTCAAAGTGGTATGAAAGGCATCCTATCTTTACAGCTACCATTCAGTTAAATTAGCAATTGATTGGATTTGCACAAATATATATCAAATGACTCCATTCAGGAAGATGATCTCTTTTGTCAACCATTAGAAAGTACAATAGGAGGAAAAGACATTTTCTCTCTCATTTATAATTTCATGTCCAAAAATGGTATCAAATAGTCCGAATGTGTACGTACTTGCACAGATGAAACAAAGAGAATAAGAGGAAAGTACAGTAGACTTGTCAGTCACATTCAAAAGGTAGCTCCTGAAGCAATTTGGATACATTGTACTATTCACTGAGAAGCAATGGCCACCAAGAAAATGCTCACAAACAAATAGCCCTCAATGAAATGATTAAAATTGTCAACTTTGTAAAGGCTAGGCCCTCAAATGCGACAATATTTACTTCTATTGCAATGAACATGTAATGCTGCTGTTGTACACAGAAGTCTGCTGGCTCTCCTGAGGTAAGTATTGACATACATAATGGAGCTGTGTGATAAACTAAGTTTTTCTTTTTGGAGCATCCTTTTGAGTTAGGAAATCATCTAGACAATTTGGATCCAAATAGTTGCATACTTTGCAGATGTTTTTTCTTACCTCAATGGATTAAATTTAGGCCTTCATGGTAGTTCTGCCACAGCATTCAATGCATGACAAAACTGAAGCTATGATAAAGCAGTTGCATTTCTGGGCAAGTTACAGGGAGCAAGTGAAATTTGAGTTCTTCTCAATATTGCACAGATTTCTTTCCAGCAAAGACACAGCTACTGACTCAAATATGAAAGTTGATGTAACACAGCGCTTGAGAACAGTCGCCCATCAATTGCATGAATATTTCTCTTAATTATCCTGTAATCCACATTCATAATACATAATCCATTTCATTCTGATATGCCTGTTCTGGGACTGTCAGTTAGCCTAGATACTAGATAAAGAGAGAAGGTCTTACCCACTGGTATAGCCAAGGATAGGTGGGGGAATAAAGGTAAGGAGAGGGAGGAGGGCAGGGGGAAGAGGGGGGAAGGACAGGTGAGAAGGAAAGAGTGAGAGGGATCTCATGATGCCTGGCTGGGAACAGTTTACAACCAAAAGGGGTATACCTAGTACTACACAGAGTACCCAATACATTGTGCAAGCAGAACAAACACGGACACAATAATACAATAACAATGCATATACACCACATGTACATAGATAAAATAGAACAAAATTACAACATACCCCTGGAAGTGTGAGCTGATAAATAGTAGTTACCTAAATATAAACCAGGGTAGATCCCAAACAAGTACAAAACAGATCTAAAACCCACGAGGAGCTGGTATAAAGGAAACTGACATAACACAGAGGCTAAAGTTCTTGAAGGTTATGAAAATGTTTTTGTTGCTGATTAACAAGTCCTGAAAACATGGCTAGATGATGTTCTCCTTACACACCATGTTGATGAGATGTTTTCTTTCCTGGAAGTAATTAGGGAGGTAGAAAATGATATGATAACTGTCTTCTTTTTCCCTAGGAGGGCAGGGGCAGTAGCCCTCACCTTTCTTCAAGAACTGTGCAAGGTAGGTCTTAAGGTTTCTGTGTCCTGTCATTATTTGTCAGTTAGCTTACAGAAACAGCTGCTTGATATTTTATCAAACAGTAATCTAAAAGGTAATTTTATAAGACAAATCTGTTGCAATTTTGGACTGAGTTGCTTTTTAATGTTTATACAGTAGAGCATCGATTTTCCGAATCAATTGGGGACTGGGGTTGTTTGTATAACTGATATTTCAGATAACCGATTTATGTACGAAAAAATTGTTTAAAATATCCGATGTTGAAATTTTTCTCCATTGTGTGTCGCTTCGCGTTGAATTTTCGTCGATGTTAAGTCTAACGAAGACTATTGTATCGTTAAAAATTATTTTTTTATTAAGTTAAAAATATTTTAATTTAATGTTTGTAGACTAATGATGATAAAATAATAGAATAAAAGTTTATATATGTATTTTTCAATTATTTAGTTTATGTTTTTTTTTAAAAGCTAAGATTTTTTTTCATATATTGTAGTATTTCTTAATTAATCACTTTGACATGTCATTTTAGAATGCATTTTGAATCTAGACTCCTCTTCAGCTGTTGACAATGTCACAATGAAAATATATTTTTAGTTTAATATTAATCAATAAAAGGCATAAATAATGTCATATGCTATTTTTTACTCGGTAAATGACATTATATCTTTTATTGGTTCCTTATTTTTCTTGTGATGTTACTCAGGACCAGTGTTTTCAAAGAACTGTCAATAGCTCTAGACCTGAAATGCATTCTAAAATGACAATTCAAAGTAATAATTTTTGCCATGCTCTTTAAACACATAACCTGTATGATAAGTCCTATATTTGTCAAGTTGTGAGATTTAAGAAGTACAATTGAATAGGACAAGAAGCTTTGAGAACATCATGCAAGTACAACAAAGATTTTTACAATTTGAGATAACTGACTGTTTAACAATAATTGATAATAAACTTACAAGAAGTGCATAATACACAAATAGCAATGGAATAAATGAAACAATCAAGACTTTTGAAGAAAATTCCATTACAATTACTGTTGCAACAAAAAAGAAAAATATATCTGTACAAAAGTATAAATTAGAAGGGATTTCAGAATCAACTGAGTCAATATCTTTGCTAAATCTGTAAAATAAAAAATAATTTATTTAGTATAATTATAGAATAATTAATAAAAACAGTTAATAACTATTGTTATAATTAAAAATAAAATACTATAATCATACAAATTTAAAAAATATATTATTATTATTATTTTTTAAGAGAGAAAGTTTTTGAAAGTCTCTTCTCATCAACAGCTAATATTCCAAACTATAAAAAAGTCCACAAACTATTGTAAATTTGAATTAGTTTATAATAAGTAATTTTAAAGTAATAAAGAAATAACAAT